TCAGTGGCGTTGCGTCTGCACTAGGGTGAACCAGAATCTCCAGAACTTTTCTGTGGCCACTAAACAGCAGCTCCCCTGCCCCTTCCCCCCAGCCCCTGGCAATCGCCGCTCTACTTTTTGTCTGTGAGTGTGACTACTTTAGATGCTTCCTCTAAGCAGAATCGTGGGATCATACGTGTTTTTGCCCATTCGTGACTCAACTCCCCTTCGAGTTTTGTTTTTGCGTACACTCGTCTCTGTGGGAGGTTTTTTTTTTTTTTTTTTTTTTTACCTCGGTGAGCTCTTGGGGAGTATGGAGGCTGTAGATAGGCATTCTGCTTTTCGTGTTCTTTCACGCGCAAACTTCCACACCCTTTTCACTTGTCACATCTCTACCGGGCTGTGTCCTGGCATGCTTATTTAGCTCTTCACCTCGGGGCAGTTTGGACTGTTATCAACTTTTCAACACCATAAGTAGCGGTACCGGGTCGAATCTTTGACCATTACTTTCTAGTTGGGTAATTTCCTTCCAGTGAATTTGCCCAAAGCAGAATCCAAGGTCAAGTTTTGTAGGTCTTGCCATAGACTGTGATTCAGAGACTGAATCAACTTGGTGTAAGTTTTAGACTCTACGGCCCCATCAGCTTTGAGTTTTGTCAATTTAGCGGACTTTTGTTAAGTTTCTGGAAGACAGAATATATTCTCTGATTGTGTAGGGGCATGACTAACTAAAAAATGAAAGTATACCTGGTTTCCTGTCGTGTATATGAACAAAAATCTGAAGCCTTTAAGTGGGCTACCTCTTTCAGATGATCATGGATGATGCTATGGTTAGAAAAACCAACCAAGTAATACTGAAATGCTCTAGTATCAGGTAAGAAGAGTGTTCAGACCAAGGAACTAGTGTTACTAGCCCACTGAACTCTACACGGGTCAGATCATACAAGAAAATCCCCTCCCTCTCTATCCTTCCTTCCCCTGTTAAAACCCTCTGTCAGCTCCTGGTCCCAAGGCCTCGGTCTCTTGTGTTTTTCCTCTGTGAGTCTAGCCAATGGTTCTTCATATTAGCTTCATCTGGGGAGGTTCAAAAATACTCATTCCTAGGCTCCTCAGGGATGGAGATTTATTTGCTTTGGAATGCATCCTGGTCATCTGTATTAAAAAATTTTTTTTTTAATATTTACTTTCGAGAGAGAGAGAGAGAGCGCGCGCGCGCACACACACGCGCGCGCGCGCGCGCAAATGGGGGAGGGGCAGAGAGAGAAGGAGACGCAGAATCCAAAGCAGGCTCCAGGCTCTGAGCTGTCAGCATAGAGCCCAAGGTGGGGCTTGAACCCACGGACTGCGAGATCATGATCTGAGACGAAGTCGGACGCTTAACCGACTGAGCCACCCAGGCACCCCACTGGTCAGCCATATTTTTAAAAATCTTCCCAAGCGATGCTAATGTGCAGTGAGGGTTTCCAGCCTCAATGCTCGCTACAGTTACTGCTCAATAAATGCGTGTTGAATGACTTAATGATTGAATGTGACTTAACTGGGCACCTGTGCATTTGTGCCAGGCAACTGGTGAGGGTGATCAGGAGCTTCTACTCTGCAGGAGCAAGCGACAACCAGCAAGGACACTCTGCCCCCAGCCCTCTCTGCCAGCTGAGACAGATTTCTAAGTACTGGTACTTTTTTTTTTTAATTGAAAAAAAGTTTATTTGAAAATTTTTGTTAACGATTCATCTTTGAGAGAGAGAGACACAGAGCATGAGCGGGGGAGGAGCAGAGAGGGAGACACAGAATCCAAAGCAGGCTCCAGGATCTGGGCTGTCAGCACAGAGCCCGACGCGGGGCTTGAACTCACGAACCGTGAGATCGTGACCTGAGCCGAAGTCGGACGTCCAACTGACTGAGCCACCCAGGTGCCCCCTTCATTTATTTGTATGCTGAACAACACTCTACTGTATGGATATATGGATATGTGCTACTTGGTTTATGCCCCCATCAGCGGATGGGCTTTTGGGTGGTTTCCAGTTGCTGGCTATTAACGAGGTTATGAACATTTGTGTATAGGTTTTTGTATGAACATTTTTTTTTTTTTTTAAATTTTTTTTTTCAACGTTTATTTATTTTTGGGACAGAGAGAGACAGAGCATGAACGGGGGAGGGGCAGAGAGAGAGGGAGACACAGAATCAGAAACAGGCTCCAGGCTCTGAGCCATCAGCCCAGAGCCTGACGCGGGGCTCGAACTCACAGACGGTGAGATCGTGACCTGGCTGAAGTCGGACGCTTAACCGACTGCGCCACCCAGGCGCCCCTGAACATATGTTTTCAGTTTTCTTGGGTATACAGCTAGGAGTAGAATTGCTGGGTCATATGATAACTTTCTGTTTAATCTCTTAACAAACTGCCGAACTGTTTTCCAGTGTCTGCACCATTTTATAATCCCACCAGTAATGCATGAAGTTTCCAGTTTCTCTATATCCTCACTAACACTTGTGTTTATCGGTCTTTTTTGATTATAGCCCTCCCAGTGGGTGTGTTAAGTGGTGTCTCATGTGGTTTTGATTTTGATTTCCACTTTCCTGATGACTAATAATGTTAATCATCTGTTTATGTGCTTTTTTGGCTACTTGTATATCTTCTTTGGAGAAATATCTATCCCAATCCTTCGTCCATTTTAAAATTGGGTTGCCCTGGGGCGCCTGGAGCGCCTGGGTGGCTCAGTTGGTTAGGCGTCCGACCTCAGCTCAGGTCCTGATCTCAAGGTTCACGAGTTCAAGCCCCACGTTGGGTTCTGGTGCCGACAGAACCAAGAGCCTGGAGCCTGCTTCAGATTCTGTGTCTCCCTCTCTCTCTGCCCCTCCCCGCTTTGTCTCTTTCTCTCTCTCAAAAACAAACGTTAAATAAATAAATGAATGAATAAATAAAATTGGGTTGTCCTTTGTTGTTACATTACGAGTTATTAGCATTCTAATATTCTGAATATAGACCCTTATCAGACACACGACGTGCAATACTGCCTCTCGTTCTGTGGGTTGTCTTCTCACTTTTTTTGATAGTGTCCTTTGAAGTATAAAAGTTTTACATTTTGATGCAGTTCGATTAATCTATTCTTTCCTTTGGTTGTTTGTGTCCTTGGTGTCTTCTCTAAGACAGCATTGCCTCATCCAAGGTCACAATGGTTTAGATCTGTTCTCTTCCAAGAATTTTATAGTTTTAGCTCTTATATTTAGGTATTTGATCTATTTTGAGGGAGTTTTTGTAATAAGTGTGACCAGGGAGTCCGACTTCATACTTTTGTGGTTATCCAGTTGTCCTAGAATAATTTGTCGAAAAAATTGCTCTTTCCTCACTGAATTGTCTTGGCACCTTTGTTGAAAATCAATTGATCGTAGATAGACGGATTTGTTTTTGGACTCTTCATTCTATTCCATTGATCTATAGGTCTACCCTTCTTCCAGGACCATGTGGTCTTGATTACTGTAACACATTTTGAAGTTGGGAAGCATGAATCTGCCAACTTTTATTTCCCTGCAAGATTGCTTTAGCTATCCTGGGTTCCATCCATTCCCGTATAATTCTAGGATCAGCCTGTTAATTTCCTCAAAAAGGACAGCTGAAATGTGGATAGGGACGGTGTTGAACTTGTACATCAATTTGGGGAGTGTTAACCATCTTGACAATAGAAGTCTTCCCATTTGTGAACAAGGATGACTTTCCGTTTATTTAGGTCTTTAATTTCTTAGAAAAAAATGTTTTATGTTTATTTTTGGGAGAGAAAGAGAGAGAGAGCATGAACAGGGGAGGGAGGGAGAGAGAGAGAGAGTGAGTGAGAGAGAGAGAGAGAGAGAGAGAGAGGGACCCAGAATCCGAAGCAGGCTCCAGGCTCTGAGCTGTCAGCACAGAGCCCAACACAAGGCTCGAACTCACGAACCGTGAGATCATGACCTGAGCCAAAGTTCTATGCCTAACCTACTGAGCCACCCAGGCACCCTGTGGTTTTTCTTTCTGCACAGTTTTAAGAAGGGCCTCCTGCCAGTGGTTAGGTCTAATTCTAGTCCTAACCTAGGTCTCAACATAGCTGGTAAGGGAGATGTCTGGATTTTGTTTCTTTCTCTTTTAGGCTAATATGACTGGAATTCTATTAAAATTATTTATTTGCGAATATGTAATATTTACATATGATAAAAAAAGAATCATTTAGATAAAAGGCAATGTAACAAAGGAGTCTCTTCCTACCCCGACCCCCTGGTTTCCTTCCCCTTAAAAAGGGCAACCACTGTGCTCCTGTCCTCGGAGACCATAGCCGCTTACCTGCTAAGTTGGTGAACAGGTGAACAGTTGCCCTGGAGACCTTACAGCCTACAAACCCTAAAATCTTTTCTATAGGACCCTTTATAGAAAAAGTTTGCCGTTTCCCTTTTTAGCCTTTTATTATTTCAAAAAATGCCGCTCTGATATGCTAGGACATCTTTGTGTGCATGGCATTCTACACATGTGAATCTGGATCGAAAGAATCCTGTAAGTGGAATTGCTGGGTCTCAGGGTCTCGGCGTTGGTCACTTGGATAGGTATTACCAGGCAGCTGTCTAGAGAAGCTGAACCAATTTATAGTGCCTCCCACAACGCATGCTTCGGCCTGTTCTCACAGCCTCGCACTAACAGTGTGCTAATAATTCGACCCTTGCCAATCTGATAAGCAAAACCTGGCACTCACTGTTTTTAATTTGCATTTTTCTCGTTAAGAAAAGATGCTTAGCCCTTATTCATAAGTCTTAAAAAACGGAACACCAAACAGCTCCCTCTGAGCCTTTCCCTGTCCAGTCGGCTCAGGGCTCAGGACTCGGGCCCGGCGGGCCCGGCGGGCCCAGCCCACGAGGGATGCCGGGCGCGGCCCCGGGCAGGAGGCAGGGGCGCGGAACCCCCGGTGCCCCCCCCCCTTCCCTCGCTGGCCGCGGAGCCCCGCCCCGGGTCCGCCTCCCGAGGGCCTGGGCGGAGCACGCGGGCCGGGGGCGGGGCGGCGCTGCCTGATTTATTCCCGTCCGGGAGCCGGAGTGAGAGCCCCGCGGTGTGCACGGCCGAAACGCCCGGTCCCGCGCCCGCATCCCCACGGCATGCCGGGCCCCCGCCTGCTGGCCGCGCTCTGCGGCGCGCTCCTCTGCGCCTCGGGACTCTTGGCCTTCTCCGGTGAGTCGATCGCACCGCCCTCTGGCCCTCGCCCCTCCTCTCCGCGCCGCTCGGAAGTTCGCTGCGGCGCCCTCCCTCCACCTCCACTGTTTACAAACTTGGGCAAAGAGCCGGGGCCGTGCGGAGGGGCGACTTCTCCGGCCGCGTCCCGCCCGCCGGCGGGGATGCGCTCGGCCTCTCCTGCGGTCTCGGCTCCCGGGCGTTCTTGGCCAGTGATACAGGCTTGAGAGTTGGGCGGGGACCGGGGACACCGGGTGACAGCCCAACGGTCCCCAGGGATGCGGCTTACACATAACAAAGGAATCTGCTGTGTAGGGTCTCTCTTTTCCCATCTGTAAAATGAGGCCATTGAACTGTGCGTGACTTTCGCGCGTCTTCCACCTGGAAGTTTCTAGGACTCTTGTATTGAGAAGACTCGTCCAGCCAAACTTTCCCTGGCAAATCCCTCCCAAGCGCTGGCGGCCGGTCTGTTCATTGGAATTTTGCATCCCCGCTTGTAGGTGTCTGGTCGGATAAGCGAGGGCTGGGGAGGCGGAGGAAGGGCCGGGGCTCTAGGTGGGGCCCCGAAGGGGGCTAAGAGCCCGGGGAGGGACTTGGAGAGTGCTGCCCCCGGGGCTGGTGGCTCCTGACTCCCTCCCGTGGCCTTGGCGTGCTGCTGTATCTTCCTGGCTCCGCCCCCGCCCAGGAGGCCTCCCGCGCACAGCTGGGCCTCCCGCAGGCTGGTCCCGGGGATGCACCATCCCCTTCTCGAGGGGCCCGCACAGCCTCCTCCAGGGCTGGGAAAAGGTGCCCATGGTGGGCGCTCTTCGGGCACCCGCTGCATCGTTTTCTCAAAGAAAGCAAGGGGAAGGGGGAACAAAGCTGAGCCCTGGGGCTGCCTCCCTGTGACAGTCTGACCCCCAGGGCCTGGAGCCTTAGGCTTAAGGGCACTTCAAGCTCCCAGGCCCTTGGGCACTGGGCGCTGGTGGCTCTCCCAGAAACCGGGAGAGACAGCTGGATCTCGGAAGAGTCCGTTTCTACTCCTCTCTGTCCCCACAAAATGTCCCTGGGGAAATCTCCCAGAAGGCAGGACTCTGAAATCCCAAAGGTAGCTTTGTACAGGGTGACCTGGCTTTTCCCGGAATGGGGAAGCACCTTGCGTGCTGTGCGCAGGTGAGTCAGGCGATGTGGGGTCAGGGCCACCTTTCACTTTCCTTTTCATCCCAGGGGAACCAGACTGCTTTGCCGGGCAGCAGAAAGGAGAGAGGGGGCGGGGGGGTGTGGTGGTGGGGGGGGGGGGCAGGAGGAGTTGGATTTTGTTGGGACAGTGGCCCAGGATTCTGGCCATTCCCAAGCCTCTGTCTGTGGCAGTGTTTGCAGTCTGCCAGGTCAGGAGGGATTAACCTGCTATTTAAAGCCAGTGACTAATAGCTCATTGGGAGCCGCCTTAAGCTCCCAGGCGGGGACTGAGGTGGAGCTCTGAGGTGCTCACTAATGCTGATCCCTGTTCCCCTCTGTTCCCTTCTCCGGAGCTGGGCCCAGCTCTCTGGCACTTTGAGATTTCAGGAGGGCCCCCTGGTCTGGGATGGCATGACTCTGTGGGGAGGAAAAGTGATTTCTGATGTCTTACCCCAAATGATGGGGTCGGGTCTTCTGGGATGCCAAGGTCAGCTAGAAGGTCCCCCGCCCGCCTGGCTGGCCTGGTGGCTGCACGAATAAGCTCACATCTGTCACCCAGGCCCCCAGCCAGAAGCTGTGAAGACCTCTCCAGCCCTTCTGTGTCAGCAGTGTTTCTCAACTCTGCCCGGCCCCCTCACCCCTTCATCTGACTTCCTCTGTCACTAGGAGGCCTGTGACAGCCTCCTAGATGCTCTCCAGGCCTCTCACCTTACCCACTCCTGTCACATTCCCACCCTGGAGCCAGAGGGGTATTGTGTAGCCCCAAGACACCTGCCTGCCCCGGGGGAGCCCATCCACACGTCTCTGCAGATGGCTTTTTTCCATTCTCCTTCCCAGGATGGGAAATGGCTTCCCCACTGCCCCCTCACACTTGAGACTCTGATTCCCCCCTGCCCCGGTAGAAAACGGTGGAAGCTGAAGGGAGGTTAAGAGCCCCTGGTTTGCGGGACGCCAAGTCTGAGCTTGTCAGCCCTAAGGTCCCTGCGGGTCTGGGCCCCTCCCTACCTACCTTTTCAGCTGTCTCCCGGTTTCCCACTTACCATGCCCCCCTGTGCTTCTGCTTCTAATGAGCAGAACATTAGAATGTTCTTTCCTCACTCCCCGTTCTGGCACACTCCACTCTGTCTTTTACACCCAGCTCACATGTCCCTCTGCCAAGCTTCCAACTCTGGTAGGAACCACACCTCCAGTGGCCCTTCCTGCAGGCTTCTGTCAGAGCTCCCGAAGCCTCCGCATCACCTAGTGACCGTCCCCCTCTTTCCAGTGGCTCCTTGAAGCCTGGACCACACCTGGGTTCTCGGTCTCAGGAACGCGGCATGCACACAGCAGCTCTCCCCTCGCCCACCCCAGTATTCACTGAATGAGTCCGGGCTGCCATTGCAGGGGACTTCTGTGACTCTAGCCAGTGCCTGAATGGTGGGACCTGCCTGTTGGGCCGGGACAACACCCCTTTCTACTGCCTCTGCCCTGAAGGCTTCACAGGCATCATCTGCAATGAGACCGAGAAAGGTACCTGCCTGGGCTATGCCCCCCACTCTGCACCCGGCTCCCGGCTGCAGCCCTAGTGAGCGATGGTCCCCTGCACCTCTCCCGCCGTCAGCTGGCACTTCCCTGGAAACTCCCCATGCCAGTTGGAGAGCTGGGTGCTTCCCTCACTTGGACTGATTCGCCTACATATGACCCTTCTCGGCCCCAGGCTGGCCCAGGCTCCGTCAGGCAGAGGGGGGAGGGAGGAGGTGGGAAGGAGGAGGTGGGAAGGGGGAGGTGGGCATGGGGCTGAGTTTGCACAGAGGGTCCTTTCGGGCACCTGCTGCTGCTGTCTCCGTCCCCAGCTCCTTCCTCATCCATTGCCCATCTTACCTGCCTCCTCACCCCTAGGTCCTTGTAACCCAAACCCCTGCTACAATGATGCTGAATGCCAGGTGATCAAGGACGAACACCGGGGGGACATCTTCACCCAGTACATCTGCAAGTGCCCTCATGGCTACACAGGTGTCCACTGTGAGATCAGTGAGTATCTGGGGGTGAATGCTCTTATGGGGGGGGGGATCCTGAGCAGCTCAGGCCACGTGCTGGCCTCACTCCCTGCATCAGGGCCTCCTCTGGTAGATGGGGGTTGACAGAGCCTCAGAGTTAGGCCATGTTAGGGGAATGAGCGGTCCTGTTGTCCCAGGCGAATTCCTGCTCAGCCTTCTGTTCTCCACCACAGGCTAGGCCTGATGTCACTGTAGGGGGCGTGGGGGGGGGGGTAGAAAGGGTGGCGGTAACCCCAGAGGTCATGGCAATACCGTTTCCTAGGTCACCGTGAACCAGATACGTAGCATTAGGGTTAAGTCTTGAGAGTTTTCTGCCAAGAGGGGAAAACAAACATTTCTTTTTCTTTTTTGGTTTCTTTACGTGTTTGTGTGTGTGTGTGTGTGTGTGTGTGTGTGTGTGTGTGTGTGTGTGTGAGAGAGAGAGAGAGAGAGAGAGAGAGAGAGAGAGAGAGACACAGTGTGAGTGGGGGAGGGGCAGAGAGAGAGGGAGACACAGAATCGGAAGCAGGCTCCAGGCTCTGAGCGGTCAGCACAGAGCCCGACGCGGGGCTCGAACCTGCAAACCACGAGATCACGACCTGAGCCGAAGTCAGACGCTTAACCAACTGAGCCACCCAGGCGCCCCAGCAAACACATTCCTTAATCTTTAGGCCCAGCAGCTCAGGAAGTAAGGCTTGGGCCTTAGAGTCTGATAGGTCCTGGCCCAAGTTTGACTGTGGCCTCATCACAGAGCTCAGGGAGGAGGGAGAGGCCTGGGCAGGCTGGGCCGTCCCCTCATGGTCAGGCGGTCAGAGGCCTGGCGTTTGCAGAGGGGCTGACCTGCCGGGCCTGCTTGGTTATCCACTCAGCCACAGAATGGCCCTGGGTGGGTGCCCAGCCTGCAGTGCTGGCGGTGGCTGTCCACGCGTCCTCCCTCCTGGCCCAGCTGGAGTCCCTCCTACCAAGCTGGGACTCTTCCTCTCCTGATGGGGGTGGGGGAGTCCACTTCTTAGGGATGTCCGGTTTCTTCGGTCCGGTGGGCCTGTCACTAAGCGTCTTGGACAGGGGCAGGCGGTTCTCCTTCAGGCAGATGTGGGGATGTTCTCTGTGGTTCGCTGACTGGCAGGAGGAGGAGGAGGAGGAGGAGGAGGAGGAGGAGGAGGAGGAGGATGGGGTGCTGGGCCACTTGGGGGGGTGCGGGGCCTGGAGGAGAGCAGGCAAAGTGCCTTTGATTCCACTCACCTCAGAGGAGGTGGCACCCAGGGGCTGTCCCTGGGTCTGTGGGCTAAGGCCAAGGTCTTTGAGATCCTGGGTGGGGGAATGTGTGTGCGTGTGTGCATGCGTGGTGGGGGGGTCGCTAAGGCAGACAGGGCCCTGGGTGGGGTCCGCTGTGCCCACTAATTACCGTGCTGGGAGGCAAGGTAACCATGGGTGTACCTGAATTGGAATTACGCACACCTAGTCTCCTGCTTCGTGGCCTGGGGTCTGCCCCGGGTTGGACACGGCAGCTCCTGGGGCAGAAGGCAGGGGAGAACCACAAAGGCAGGGGAGGCCCCCAGGGGCCGTCGCAGCCCCTCCGTGTTGGTCAGGTGGTATGTTTTCTTGGAGCCCACAAGGACCCCACAGGCCCAAAGAGTGCACGTTTGGGTCCCTTCGAGTGTGAACATGTGGGGTGTGAGGACAGACCTGGGTGCAAATCCCTGCTCAACATCCCTCCCTTCCCCCCCCCCCCCCCAGCTCTGATTTTGGCTGCCTGGTCTCCCTTTCCTGCGAGAGTGTCATAGCACTGAGCTCAGCATGAACCTGGGGTGTTGTAGCAAGAGTAGGTCTGTCCCTGGCTTCTCTGTTTGGGGGATAAGAGGGGCCCGGCCCCCTCGGACCACATCCCTGGGATAATGGTGAAGGTGACGGCCCCTTGGCCGGGAGCAACTTCGCAGATGGCTGGGTCATGACCAGTAGTTGGAAGGCACGAAGAACAGGAGAGAAAACAGGATGGCATTCACGCCCCACCCAGAAAGTCCTGCCAGTGGGATTGTAGAAAAGTCCAGGCAGATTTGTTTACTGCTTTGTGTGCAAAACAGGTACTGTTCCCTGCCACCTGACGTGCCTGCCTCCCAAAGCCATCCTGGGGGAGCCAGGGGTGGGGCTGGACCAGGTGGGCCTCCTGGTGGGCTGGGGACCCTGAAGGAGAGCAGGCCACACTGGTCTTCTCTCCCGCTGGTCCAGTCCCTGCCTGCCCCCAACTCCCCCATAGTTGCTGCTAGATGCCCTGTAAAGACAAGACCACCTACCACAGCCTTGCAGGAGATTCTGGAGACGCCATGAGTGCCGGCCTGGCACCTCCTGGCGGCCCTGGCTCCCTGCGCCCCCCCCTCCCCCCCCGAGCATCCAGCCCACCCTCTTCCTCACCGTGCACCTTTCTCGGGCCCTCGTAGTGCTTTCCGGGTCTCTGCTCTGAGTCTCAGCGGAGGCCACACTGTGTTGTTTTCTGGTCCTCTGGGGCTCGGGTGGCCGCCTGACAGCCACGTCCCCCTCTCCCCGCCCCTCCCCCCGTAGCCTGCGCCATGCCGCTGGGCATGGAGACGGGTGCCATTTCCGACTCGCAGATCTCTGCCTCGTCTGTGTACTTGGGCTTCATGGGTTTACAGCGCTGGGCCCCAGAGCTGGCCCGCCTGCACCGCACGGGCATCGTCAACGCTTGGACAGCCAGCAACTATGACAAGAATCCCTGGATCCAGGTACAGAAAGAATGGCTCTAGGGTGGGGAGAGTCACGGGAGGGGACAGGGTGTGACGAGGATGTCTGCATGGGGGGGGGGGGGGGGGGTCATCACGCTGGGGTCATAACCCGGGTCCAGGTAGCAAGGCAGTGGTTCCCACAGGTGAAGTATCTGTAAGTGGAGGGCAGCCTGGGGGTGGGCTGGATGAGGAGGAGCAGACCCCAGGCTGTGGAGGGGCTGTTTGCACTGGGTGAAGCCTTTGGGGCCTCGTCCCTCTTCGGGTGCCCCTCTGAGCACTGGGCCCAAAGCTCTGAGAGGCCCAGATGAGAAGGTCCCCACTCCTTTGTCCTGCTTGGTTGCTCCCACTCTGGGTGGGGAGCAGAGGGAGCATAACGAAGCCGGGAGATAAGGGTCCTGTCGTCTCCGCCTTGGGTACAGGTGAACCTGGCACGGAAGATGTGGGTGACGGGCGTGGTGACACAGGGTGCCAGCCGAGCAAGCAACGCCGAGTACCTGAAGACTTTCAAGGTGGCCTATAGCCTCAACGGACGCAAGTTCCAGTTTATCCAGAGCGCGGAGGGGTCAGGAGACAAGGTGAGGGCTGTAAGAGAAGGGCTGTGGTCTGCATCCTCTGGGGCTCCAGAGCGGTTTGAGGGTTCCCAGTGAAGTGAGTGTACCCTGGGTGATTGATTAGCCATGAGGTGGGTCTGCCGTTGCTCCTTGGTTCCCAGATATTGGGAAACCTGGATTATGCCCGTGTTCTGTGGTTATAATACCCTTCCCCCTCCCCATTTTACAGGTGAGAATAAGAGTCAGAAAGGTTCAATGTGACTTGTTGAGGATGGCTGGAGTGGTGGAGGTGGGATGCATTCTGAGCCTTCAGGGCCACCATGGGCAGTTGTGCAGGTTGTACATTGCTCGAGGAGGTCATTACGAAGTGAGCACCGTTCGGAATGTAGACATCATGTTTGTATACTTCTGTCTGTGGGGAAATTATTATAATAAAGTGTCTTGAGACAGGAGTGCCTTTTTCTAATTTGCAGAGGCGCCCTAGAGATTCCAGGTGGCCCTGTGTGAAAGACCGGGGTTTCTGCCCAGGCCCCATGATGGCCAAGAAAGGTGGGGCAGAAGGGGAACCTGTGTTGAGAGCTGTGGGTGGCCAGAGGAAGAGCTGACCCCCTGCCGGCTCTGCTAAACCCCACCTCTGCCTCCCAGGGCTGAAGAGGAAGGTGAGGCAAGCCCAGAAAGGTGGACTGCCCCCACTGACCCATCCTTCTGATCTTCTTTCCTCCTAGCTGTTTGTGGGTAATACGGACAACAGCGGCCTGAAGGTCAACCTGTTTGACTTCCCTCTGGAGGTGCAGTATGTGCGGCTGGTGCCCATCACCTGCCACCGGGGCTGTACCCTCCGCTTCGAGCTCCTTGGATGCGAGTTGAATGGTGAGTGCTGGGGGCTGTGGTCAATGCTAAGAGATGGCCTTCCCTGCTCCGTCTTTTCTCAACCAGGATGAGCTGGGTAGGGCGGCACAAGGCCCAGGGACCCGGGCTCACACAGGAGATGCGCACTAGACGGGTCACCGGGCCCTCGGCGGTCTCGCCTAGGTGTCTGCTATCTGCCAACCCTGGGCGTCTTGGTTAGAGAAAAAAAAAGACCACTTCCGTTTTCAAAGGGCTTTCACTTCTTCTGATTGGTTCCTTGAACTTCTAGACCACATAGCACTAGGTTTTTCCGATGTTGGCTCCATGAGGGTGGGAAGTCTGTTTTGTTCACTGTATTCCCAGGGCCTGGATCATAGATGTTCAGTAAACATTTAAAAAAGTTTGGGTGGGGGTGGGGGTGGGCGCCTGTGTGGCTAGTTGGTTAAGCGTCCGACTTCGGCTCAGGTCAGGATCTCCCAGTCTGGGAGTTTGAGCCCCGCATCGGGCTCTGTGCTGACAGCTCGGAGCCTGGAGCCTGCTTTGGATTCTGGGTCTCCCTCTCTCTCTGCCCCTTCCCTGTTCTGTCACGCTTGCTCAAAAATAAGTAAAACATTTAATGTTTTACTTATTTTTGAGAGAGCGTGAGTGGGGGAGGGGCAGACTGAGAGGGAGAGAGAGAATCCAGCTCTGAGCCATCAGTGTCAAAGCCCAGTGTGGGGCTCAAACTCACAAACTGCAGGATCATGACCCGAGCCGAAGTTGGATGCTCAACTGAGCCACCCAAGTGCTTCTGTTCAAACATTTAATGAACTAGTGAATGAATAAGGAAAGTGAGGCCCAGATAAATTATCTGTCAAGGGCTCACAGGCTGGTAGGGATTAAAACTTGGTCTAGATCCCTGGGCTTTTGACACCCACCCACCCACCTAGTGCTCCCTGCCCCCTCCCCCCCCATATCTCCTGTACTCATCATTCAGGAGAAACATGGAGGCTTCTAGGGACATAGGGCTGGAGCTGGTGCTTTCTGCTGCCCTTTCCAGAGATATTCCCAGGTGGAGGGATGGGGGGTACCAGAAAGGGACAGGTTTCTGATGAGCAGGAAAAATTGATGTCTGGACCCCCCAGGCTGCAGGGGTTGGGGTGCTCGCTGAGGTCTGGGTATTTCCCCCTCTTTGCAGCTACAGCACCACCTGCTGGCCATTGGCGGAACTGTAAGGCTCGCTAGACTCCTCTGCCTTTCTGGTCTTACCCCAGACCCACCCTTTTGAAGTATGAACCTAAGTCATCACGCGTTCCCAGTCACAGGGTCATTGCCTTTTTGAGCCTTCTTGTTTAAATGGGGGAGTTAAGACAATCTTCTGATAAAAGGAAACGTAGGCTATTGGTACCAGACAGACAGGGCTGGGGGCTCTGCAGCCTTTGGCTATTAAAGTTGCCTGCAAGGTCCTATCCCAGATGGCTCCCTCCTAGGCCAAGAGAGGGTAAGCCTGGCAAGCTGTGGAAGCTGGCCTGTCTGCTCTTGAGGTCTAGTTCTCCTTTCCCTAGTCGGCATTCCAGTGGGCTGGAATGTTGGTGTGTGCAGGTGTGTGTACCTGTGTGCACATGTGTGGCCCTGAGGCCTGGGCATGAGGATTGCCCTTTTGGGACAGTTTTTGAATGGAGGTTTGTATGACAGAGAGCAAGCCACGTGAAGAACGTGGAAAGAGCATTCCGGGCAGGTAGGGAGCTGGCAGGTGCAAAGGCCCTGGGGCATGTTTAAGGATAAAAGGCAGGCCAGTGGGGCTGGAGCCTAGAGAGTGAGGGGCAGCTTATTGGGTGGGGAGGCTGGAGAGGTGGATGGAGAGAGGTCTCAGACAAGTTAGGGGCCGTATGGATCATTTTAATGATCCGGGTCTGTATGCTCAGAACAAGGGGCAGCCATGTGGGGGTAAGGGGAGTGCTAATAGGACATGACTGGAGTGTGTCTAGAAGGGATCCCCTAGGTTGTATGGGGAGAGTGAAGGCAGAGGGCCATTGTGTGTGAGGGGAGCCCCGTGGGAAGAGATGGGGGAAGATGGCTTGGATCAGGTTGTAGACTCACTGGGTTGGGTGGCTGACAGTCCTCTGCTCATAAAGTGCCCTCCGTGGACCCAGTAGTAGGAGCATCACCTGGGAGCTTGTAGAAATGTGGGTGCCAGTCCCACCCTAGCCCTACGGAAACAGTCTTCATTTTAACAAGATCCTGGGTTGATGCAGGAGGAACACTTCTGGGGCGGGGGGGGGCTTCCCAGGGTCAGTGACCGAGCGGAGAGTCTGGGCCCTTGGCTCAGGGCCCCTCCCAACTGCATTTTCCTCGGACGGCTGTTTGACTTCCTCAGGACACCCAGAGGTGAGAGGGCGTGAATGGCAGGGAAGCAGTTTTGTAGGAGGGTCCACCTTGAGCATATGATGCCAACCTGGCATCCTCTGCAAAGCTGCCCCGGGCCTTGGCCTGGGAACGACCCGCTTCCAGCCCTGGGGGCTCTCTTTGTGGGAGGAGCATGGGGGTCACCTGGGGCACCAGCGTCACGAGGAGATGTTGCGTTAGCAGGTGTGGGCACACCTGGGAAGCAAAGGTCTTTTTAAAATAATTACTTCCATTTCTTTTTTAAAGTTTTTTTTGAGAGAGAGAGAGAGAGAGAGAGAGAGGGGGAGGACAGAGGTTCCAAAGAGGGCTCTGTGCTGATAGCAGAGAGCCTGACACGGGGCTCGAACTCACGAACTGTGAGATCATGACCTGAGTGGAAGTGTGACTGACGCTCAACCTACTGAGCCACCCAGGCGCCCCAGGAGGCAAAGGTCTTCAGGGGCAAATGTGCAAGCGTCTGGGGAGACAGGGATGTAAAGAGCCATATACTTGCTTCCAGGTGGAGGCGTGGCTTTCCAGGCCCACTTCCCCCCACCCCCAAATTCCCCACAAGGACAGACTGGAGTAAGGATTCTGCCAGGTGTGACACACGCCCATCCTTCTCTTGGGGGGGGGGCGGGTTATCTTCTGCCCGTCCCTAACTGCTACCGCCACCTGCAGGTGCAGAGGAGTAGTGCAGTGCCGCTGGGCCCGCGGAGCCCGGGTGACGAGGCCCCCAGTGTTGGGTGTGGGAAGGCCCGCTGGTGGGCACTCAGTGAGGGGCTGCTGGGGCAGGATACAGGATCCACCGTGAGCCCCAGGAGTTCGGACTTCTGTGCCTGCCACCTGCTGGAGGGGGGATAGTGTTGTCCCGTCCGTCAGTGGGTCGCCAGCAGGCCTGCCTTCCTGGCTCTGCAAAGGGGCGTGGATGGTGGCGATGATGCCACAGTGGTGTGGTGATGAGTTTGCGTGTGTGTGTGTCGTGGGCACAGTGCTTAATGACTCAGCCTCAGTTTCATTCATTCGGTAGAACGGGGTTGCTGATAGCGGCTTTCAGGTTTTTCGTGGTAGGTCAAATGACAGACATGAGCGCTGGATGGAGATGCCAGCTGCTGAGGTTCTTGACCACAGTTGCAGGCCTCAGCCTCCTAGACCACAGCTGTACCGTAGGAGTGAGAGAGGCAGTGCCGAGTCCAAAGCAGGCAGGCTTCTTGGAGGAGGGGTCTCACGAGGCAGGCGTTAGAGGAGGGGAGGGAAGGGAAGTCGTGGCAGGGCCTGCCCTCGTGTAGATGGGAAAGGTGGTGGGTCCTCTGAAGGGCAAGTGAGGGTAGGACTGGGTATGGAGGGCACAGCTGGCAGAGGTGAGCAGGCGAGGTGGGCAGAAAGTTGGCTCTCAAAGGTGGAAGGGGTTTCCCTCTGTCCAAGAGGATGCCAGGGGCCAGTCGGGACCCCACGGAGTTCCTCCCCTGGTCTTCTCTTGCTCACACTTGTGGGAGGCTGTGGATGCTGACCTGGGTGGCAAACCCCTTTGCCGGCAGGATGTGCTGAACCCCTGGGCATGAAGGACAACACCATCCCCGACAGGCAGATCACGGCCTCCAGCATCTACAGGACCTGGGGCCTGAATGCCTTCAGCTGGTATCCCTTTTACGCGAGGCTGGACAAGCAGGGCAAGTTCAACGCCTGGACCGCCCAGACCAATGATGCCTCTGAGTGGCTGCAGGTGGGTCAGGATGCAGGGCAAGGGCAAGGGCAAGGGCTGGAGTTGGGCTGCTGATCATTGACCCCCTCCACCCCAGGCTTCTGCTCCCCAAGAGGGAGGGTCTGAAAAAGCCTTGTTTTCCTTCTGCTTTGTTTCTTTCTCCCACATGCCCTACCTTCTCCTGATTCTGCAATTCCAGAGGGGGAGGGTGGGGGAGTTCAGGGCTATTTCCACGAAGGCCCCAAGCCCCAGGCACAGAAAGGACGTGTGTGTGTGTGTGTGGGGGGGGGGGGGGGTGGGGGGGGGGGGGGGCAGTTGGGCCATCTCCACCAGCTGCTCCAGGGTGACAAGGCTGAGCCCATGGACAGTAGGGGACAGAGGAGGGCCATCTGACCCAGGCAGGCTCACCCCAGGATTTCTCTGACTTGGCGTGTGAGGACACACTGTGGGGCAGCCCTTGGATTTCAGGAGATTGGGAAGCAGGAGGGTCACAGAAAACCAGACTCTCTGCTCACTTTATAGACGAGGAAACAGTCCTGGCAGGGCAAGGGTTTGCCTGGGCCTCACCTGCTGCCACCCGGGCATTGGGACTGCCTGTCCGGGTACAGAAGGCAGGCTCCCCAGGGTGGGCAGGGACTGGGGGGGGGGGGGGGGGGGGGCAGGGACTTTGTCTCTAGGTCCCAAGGAGCCATTAGCCTGCGCAGCCAGGTTCTGCGAGGAGCTGCCTCCATCTGGACTCCCTCAGGATTAAGGCCAGGCTGTGGACAGCCCCGCAGGACACCCAGGAGCCGGCCGTGGACTCTTCTGTCCTTGTTCTCATTGTACTGAGGGGTGGGGAGGATGGGCTACAGGTTGGCCAAGGCCCCCGCTCTGAAACGTAGCTTCACTGCAGCGATGCGTCTAACCGTGTCTGACAAAGTAGGTGGTAGGATTTATGCCCATTTAATAGATGGGGTAACTGAGGTTGTGCCAAATGAAATCGCTTTCCCGAAACTAGAAGTCATGCCCCAGCATGTCTGCCTGTTCCCACCTTCCGGGAGAATGGTCTAAACGAAGAAAACGTGCTTGATTTTTCCTGTAGGTTGACTTGGGCACCCAGAGGCAAGTGACGGGCATCATTACCCAGGGGGCCCGAGACTTTGGCCACATCCAATATGTGGCAGCCTACAAGGTGGCCTACAGTAACAACAGCATGAACTGGACCGAGTACAGGGACCAGGGGGCCTTGGACAGCAAGGTGAGTGTCCGTCCGGCTGACCCTCTGTCACCCCTCTGGGGTGGGGGGACCCTCTGAGTCTGGCCTGAGGCTGGGGGGGGAGGGGCTGGCCCTCCTGACCGCCCCCTCTCCCCCCTGCCCCCTCCAGATCTTCCCTGGCAACTTGGACAACAATTCCCACAAGAAGAACATGTTTGAGATGCCCTTCCTGGCTCGCTTCGTGCGCGTCCTGCCCATAGCCTGGCACAACCGTATCACCCTGCGTGTGGAGCTGCTGGGCTGCTAGCGGTAGGCCCGGCCTGCGCCACCCGAAGGGCCGCGGGGCGCCTGCCCTCACCTGGTCCTCCTGGCCTTCTGTTGGCCTGTGGCCTTCTCCACCCCACCTCCTGATTGTAGGTGACGGGGGAAGGGGAGGCAGGGGTTTCAGTCACCTCCCCTCTCGCCTTCTCCCCTCCCCCCTCCTTCCCCTCCCCCTCCCCCATGGCCCTGGCGCCCCGCCCTCACGCCCCGCCCTCACGCCCCGCCCTCACGCCATCCCATTTTCTTAGACACCATGGGAGTGGAGTAGGTCTGGGATGGAGTGGAGTAGGTCTGGGATGGAGTGGAGTAGGTCTGGGATGGAGAGGGAAGGGCGAAGTAGGGAGTCAGGGTTACCCGCACCCCTCGGATCCCTGGTTCTAGTCTGTTTTCCCCACACTCTCTCCCACACCCCGCATTCCCATGGCCCTGGAGGAAGGCCCTGAGGCGCCAGGCTGGAGATAACGGTCTCCTGTCCCTTAGCCTGATGCTGCCACCCTCCTGCTGCCACCTAGCCCCCCTCCCACGTGGCTCTTCTCTCCCTGGAGACCCGCCCCTCTTGACCCTTGTCCTGAAGCCTAAGAAGAAACAGAAGGGGGGGAGTGGGGGGGGCGGGCTTATGGAGAGAGGGGTGGAGGTGGGTGGGCATGGGGGGGGCACCCTCTGTGCTGGTTCTTTACCCCAGAGTACACAGGCAGCTTCCAAAATATGTTTATATCACCCCCTGAACTCTTGCTGTGGCTCATCACTGCTCCGTCCACATGGGCTTTGGCCTGGGCTGTCCCCCCACTGCTCCCCTCAGGCCTTCCAGATACCAGTATTCTTGTATCACCTGCTGGTTGTGGAGAACTTACGAGAAGGGAGAGACTATTGGGGGGCGGGGGTCCCATGGAGTCCTCATGCCCGGGCCTCTTCTCCGTTCTCCCCCCCCCCCCCCACCCCCGACCGACTCCTGCAGCCTTGGGGTCCACAGCTGCTGCCCAGTGAGGGGCCCAGGGGATGCCTGGCACACACACAGCCGGTCTCCGTGAATGCCTTTGCTCTCTTCCCATGCCAGTAGGAGAGGCTGAGGCTGTTGGTTTTCCCCTTCAGCATTTTCTCCGCTTCCAGAGTGAGGGGCCGGAGAAACGGCTAGAAACTCCGCGAACCTGGGCTGCATTCAGAGCTGTGTGAGGCTCCAGCGATGGGGTGCAGTGTGGGTGGAAGGGGCCAGGGCTCAGCCAAGTGGTCACGAGGCCTCCTGGCTGAGCACACTAGTTCCCGAGAGGCCGCTGGCAGGGCTGTGGGGCCGCAGAAAGCTCCAGGGGTACCCACTCTGCTCTCACCACCCTGCCCCCCAATGCAGGGGCAGTCAGGAAGCAGGCTTTGGGGGGGCAGTGCCGGCCACCCCCTGGTGATCGGGGACAAGGGGGCTGGCAGGTAGAGGAGGGACCGAGTAGGTGGGAAAGGTATGTAAAACCACCTTAGTATCCTAGGCCTTGGAACACAAGGTGAATTTTCTGGAACAAACTTTGGGAGCCTTGCTGGGATATACATACATCTCTAGGCAGCAGATCTGGCCACACGGCTGCCAAAGGGAGGGTGTGGCTTTGCTGGAACCTGGGGAGGAGAATTAGTGTGGAAGTGGCTCCTTCCGGAGAGCTCCCCTTGCCAGGGATTTTTAGCCAGGCAGGAACAGACTAACGGCCCAGGCTGCGGTCTCTGAATGGGGACTGGGGCTCCCCGCCCCTGGGGGTCTTTCAGCCCGGGTCACTCCCTCCCGTCTCCGAGACCTCTTCTGTGGAGCTGCATGGATTGTGTTTGGAGTCAGTCCTTCTGGCTGGTTGGCGGCATCTGGGCTCCCTCGGGGGAGCCTTTCCCGTCGACAACCCTGTTCTGGCCTCTCCTGGGGACTAGCAGCCAGTGGGAGGAGCTTCTTTTCAGTGCACCTGTGCTCTGGGATGCTTCCACCTCCCCAATCAACTGGGCCGTGAGCCTTGCTAGAAGTCGGGAAGCCCATAAAGGGAAACGGAGAGCTTCACTCTTACAGGTCCACAACCCCCGTTCATGGCTTGGAATGTTTGCTGTGGGCCAGTCTCATCAGCTGACTGGCCATGGGGGCTGGTGAGCAGTCGTCACAAGGCCCCCACCTGGCCCAGGAGCCCCGAGGTCACTCTGGAGTAGCTGAAGCCACCCAGACCCTCCTCATCTCTGCGACCTTGGAGGAGTTGGTCATGGCCTTCTAAAAGTCCCCCTCTGGAGAGCCTGGGGCCCTCACTCCTGCTCCCCCTGCCCTTGGCTCCTCTCACCTGGGTAGTCTTTCCACTTCTGCAGACGTTCACCATCTCCTCCCCAGATTTGCTTTTATTCCTGACCGCTGTCTGGGGGGCCATCCCTGGCTGGCATGTGAAACTTGCTGGAGCAAAACTGCCCTCCCCTGATGTCGCCCCTGTTCCTTCACCTGTGGCCATCAGCACCGGGATGCATTGGCCTGCCTCTCCCAGGAGTCTGGGATCCCCTGGTTTAAACAGGGTGGAGTCCTGAGGAATGCAGGGCCTCCGGCTGGAAGATCTGAGTTCACATCTTGGCTCCAAGCAACCTGAGGCAACTTGTTGAGATCTCTGGGCCTCAGTTCCCTCATCTGTAAAATGGAGATAATAGGACCGCCTCCACGGCCTTGTGGAGACTAACAGAGAACGCACAGATGCAAAGCCTGGTGTGTTGGAGGCCTCAAACACTTTGCTCACGCCATCATTAGAGACGCTTGCAAGAGTTTCCTAACTGGTACTCGTGTTTTGTTGATCACCCCTCCAATCCATCTGCACAGTGGTCAGACCTCTCCTCCTGGGGTAGGAACCTTCGCTGGCTCCCGGAAGCCTGGCATTCACTTCGGATGTGGTGTGCCTTCTAGTTCGCTGCAGCTCTTGGTGCTCTGATGTGCTTCTGGCTCTTGTGTAAGACACACACACACACACACACACACACACGCTTGCTGGCATGAACGTAGGCTGTGGCCCTTCTTCCGGCTAGGGTTGAAGGATCTTCTCGGCTTCTCTGCTGAGGGAAACTGTCCAGCCCAGGACCCCTGTCGGCCAGGGCGGAAACAAGACACCCTGTCCAAACAGTTCTGGGAGGTGAGGCCGGATGGCTGATTAGACTGCTGGCAGGATTCTAAGGGAGGGCCCTACCGTAGCCCTGTTGGAGCACCAGTCAGAAGCCTCATTGCCCCTGCTGGCTGCAGGGAGCACCCCTAACCACCTTCCCTCCTTCCAAGACCACCGATTCAAGTCTCACGCACTACCATCGGCATCTTTGCTCCAGACACGGAGTTAGCAGTCTGGTGATTTCATGACGGCCAAAACCATGGGCAGGAGGGATGTCCTTGCCCTCTTGTCTTACAGGGCGGGGAAAAGTAGGCAGGCAGGACATTCCTTACCCTTACTTCTCCCTAAGGTGGGCGGCAGCCATAGCCCACCTGCAGAGAGCTGGGGAGGGGCTCCCCCTGTTCAGTCCCACTGTTTTTGGTAAACGGGAGTGATCTAATTAATGGGACCCTCCTCAGTTAATGCGCCTCTTCCATTTCCCACTTACCCCTTTCTAAGATGTGACGGCAACTCGTGGACACTCAGTTTTGGAGGTGGTCCCCAGCCGAGGCTGGAGACCGCGCAAGTCGGCAACAGCTCCTCCCTTTGGACCCAGCCCTTGGGAGGGAAAGGGGCGCCTGTTCCTTTAAGGGGCTGGCCAGGCGGGAGCGCGGGGATTTGTCCGCAGCCGCTTCCTTTCAAGCGCTTCAGGATCCCTGGGACCCGGACCGTCCGAGGCCGAGCGCTCCGGCCGTCGAGGAGCCGCCTGGGGACGGTGCGTAGCTCGGGGGAGCTCGGGCTCCTCGGGCCCCCGTGCGGGCCGGGTTCTCCCCTCGCCGCTTTGGGTCTCCCGCGGGGCCCCAGGCCTCTCAGGCAGGGTCGGGAAAGCGGGCAGGAGGAGTGCGCTGGGCACCGCGGGGCCGGGCGGAGCTGGGTTCTCATCGCTCCTGGGGCGCGCCGCGGGCGCGAGTGCGGGGAGAGGGGCGCGGATCCCCTGGGCTCGCCACGAGGAAGCAAATGCCCAGCGAAACCGGACCACCGCCCGGTCCAGCCCCTTTGCCACCGGGGCCCGCCGATCCCTGCCGGTCTCGTCCGGTCTGGGTCCTGCAGCCTCCAGCACGGTGCACCGCGCGCCTGGCTCTGCCCCGCGGCACGTGTCGCGTGCTCCGGGGTTCCCTGGAGCTCCGGGGTGAGGTGGGGGGCTGGGGACGACCCGCGGGGCGGCGGGCGGGCGGACCTGCGCCTCTTGGCCTCTGCGTAGGGCAAGCGCAAAGGATGCCCGTCGGGTTCAGGCCTCGGTTCACCGGGGTTTCTGCCTTAGGGTGGTGAGACCAGAGGCACAGAGAGAGGGCGGCGAGAAGGGAGATGGGTAGGAGACGGGATCCTTCGGGAAGGAATTTAGGTCCGGTGAGCGGCCAGGAAGGACCCAGCTGTGTCACCAACTCGCTGGGTGGCCTCAGCAGCCTGTGACCCGGCCTCGACCGCGGTGCCCAGCGCTGACCCCGGGGAGTGCTTCTGCTCGGGGCAGCAGGGGGAGGTGACGGAGAGGCCCCTCTCCCGCCGCCCTGCATGAGCCAGCGGGGTGGGAATGCTGGTAGGAAACACCTCCGGCTTCCACTTTACGGGGCCCGCAGGTTTCAAAGGCGCCGGTCAACCTTGTCTAAACAGGGGGCACCGAAGTCAAATTCCTCACGCGGAGCTGGGGCTTATGGAGTCCTGGAGGACAATGCTGCCCCCTGCTGGAGTTTGGGGGACTCGGTTCTCCGTCGCACGGAGAGAATAGTCTGAGGGGAGGTGTGTGGCCCATCTTCCTTCCAAGGTGGGGTTCAGCTTATTCTGGTGTGTGGAGGGGACCCGAGGCAAGTGGTGCTGGGAGAGGCAAAGGATGGGTGGCCCGGAGACTGGAATTTTCTCTAACTTCTGCCGGCGGAGTTACCAAAGATAAAGCCTTGGGTGTTTCACTCCTCTGCGTGCCCTTAGCCTCAGTTTCCCCAACTGTAAAGAGAAGGCAGTGGTGGCTGCTTTCTCTCCTAGGCAATGAGAGGGGAGAAAGATCCACTGAAGTAACGTGAGAGTTCACCTTGTGCACTGTTAACACTAGTAATAATAACTAAT